AGACACTAATATTTAAGTAAATGCTCTGTTTATAATAAACAGTATTAACAACATTTACCGGCCTGAACGTTTAATACTGCTTATAAACAGATCATTTACTTAAATATTTGTGTATATATAAACAACATATAAAAATGAAATATATAAAAAAAATTGTCAGACTTTGTCCATTTCGTTGTCTGTGACGTCATTTGTTTACGTTAACATACGCTTCGAGCAGAAATGGACTTCCGAGGGATATCATAGTAATTTTGTAGTTTTAAATCAGTAAAATCGACCTTGCTAATCAGACGCTCCTTCGTAGCTGAACTGCAGGCTATATGCTGGCTCGGTGTAGGATACAGGTTCAATTCTTGTCGGAGGACGCACATATTTTATGAAATTTCTCAGACATTCAGTCTGGTAAAGGTTATTAACACTGTTTATTATAAACAGTGCATTTACTTAAATATCTGTGTATATATAAATAACAATAAAATATATTAAAACATATATATATATATATATATATATATATATATATATATGCCTGGCGATAGCGTTTAAGCATAAAACAGGGTGTTGACCTCAATGACAATTTTTATATTTACATACGCTTAAACCCAGAAATATAACATACCGTAAGCATTATTTTTCTTATATGCAGAGTGCAACAAAATGATCTCTATGATTTGTAGGTTTAATAAAAGCGGAATAAAGAACAAAAACGTGTTTTCATTTTCGAAATGTACATACAGTCCTGTTTTATTTCATTTTTTTTCCTTTGCTAACATGATATGGATGCTCGGGCATCGCGTTTTCATTGTTGAAACGTTTTTCAAGACCAATAAATCGGTAAATGCAACACAAAGATCATTGGCTCGCACTATCAACTGATTTGAAACCATGCGATTTTTTTTCAATGGGGATAACTGAAATCAAAAGTACTCAATGATTGCGCTCGATCTATTGAACAATTAAAAGATGCCATTCTTCAAGAAATGACTATCGTGAACGCCTTCGACAATATGTGGAAAGTAACGGCACACACTTGCCTGATTTAAATTTTGAAACGAAATTAAACAAAACGGCGTTATATGTACATTATTGTTATGGAGTGATTTCGCAGTGGAGGCTTGTATTTGTACTAAGTCGGTCCTAAAATATTTTGGCAGGATTATATGGTAATGGTAGATATGGTGTGATAGTAATATGTAAGGGAGTTGGTGGCAATAATAATATAAGTGGTTAATATTTATTGTAAATTGTTAGTAGTGATTAGTAATGTTGGTGGGAGAATAATAAAAACCTATAAATGTAATTATTGTGGTGCTAGCTTGAACTAAAGAGTGGTTGTTGGTGTTTTATTTTATTTTATTTTCTATATTTATTTGTTTATTTTTATTTATTATGAATCCTGGTAATAGGTGTTTATTCTCATGGTTACATACGGAAATTATATCTGATCATATTGTTTTAAGGTATTAAATATGCTGGGGGAGTAATATGCGTTAAAGATTGTGGTGGATTTATATGTTAATAGTAGGTGTGATGTGTAAGTGATGGTGCTGGGTGTTGGTAGTAATGATAATATTATTAGTTAATAGTTATTGTAAAGTGGTAAAAGTGATTACTAATGGTGGTGCAATGATAATAATGATAGATGCAATTATTTTGATGGTATCTTGAAATTAAATTGTGATTGTTGGTGGTTTGTCTATTTTATCCGTTTGGTATGAATTCGGATAATAGGTACTTGTTCTCATGCCTACATTTGGAGATTATCTCTGATTTTTTGTTTAGTAAGTTCTTTTGCGGTTTGTGTGATATTATTGCTACTTATTGCTACCACGACTAGCTACCACCACTATAACTACATTCATGGTTTTATCATTCTCCCACTACCGTTATTAATCATTTCTACCAATTTACAATTTCTACCAATTTACAATAACTATTAGCTAATTATATTATCATTGTCTCCAATCCCTTGCAACATTACTATCACATTATATCATATAGACCCGTTATTAAATTAAACTAACCTCTCACCCAGCACATTAAATATTAAACATCACCATATAAAATAACCAATAAGGATTACAAACTTCTACCTGTTACATATACACAGTCACCAAAATCAAACAAATAACCAGCTTTAAATATACCACAAAACCCCCATTTTTTTTCAAAAATTTAAAAATAAATATAAATAATAATAATTTTTACTAATCATAATTGTACACAAACCCCACCATACATATATACATACATGCAAGGAAATATTATTCAGCGGAAAAATATATAATATGACATGTATACATTCACGAGACATTAACGAGACATTTCCGCCACACTTCCAATGTTTAAATTGCAACATTTCAACATGCAAATGCGTATGTACAGACATAACACCACCCGTATACATACATATGTCATATCCGAAACTGCCCACATATGTTTATATATGTATGAGTCCCGACGGACGACCAAGTATGTATATGTGTCTGCATACATCGATGTTTGCGTTAATACGATGACATAAGCGACGAATTTTCCCCCACCTCTTCCACAATAACACCAATACATGCAATCTATATAAATCAAATTTTTTAAAAAATTAATCAGTTTGTCTGACGATCGCTAAAGCGTGAAACCCAGGGTCACAAACTCACATCTATCCAACCAAATATGTTAGCTCTATCTCTGATATTGAGCGCTTTTAATAAGTACCGTGCATATAATATATAAATAATTATACATATATATATTTATTTATATTTATATACTCATATATATATATATATATATATATATATATATATATATATATATATATATATATATATATATATATATATATGTGTGTGTGTGTGTGTGTGTGTGTGTTAAATATATTGATAAAATAGGAAAGAACCATTAGATTGATGTTTCGATGTTATTCTTTTATTTTTTTTATTTAAAATAAAACAGTGCTCGATACACAAGCAGAGACTAGATTATAATTATTTTTAAAAGATTAATGGTTAGAGTTCAATCAGACCAGAAAACTGTAATATTAAAAAGTGCTCAATAAAAAAATAAATAATAACATTTAGAGCTTTTTTAAACTGATCTCCTAATTTGATATATATATATATATATATATATATATATATATATATATATATATATATATATATATATATATATATATGTGTGTGTGTGTGTGTGTGAAAAGTATATAAATATAAACAAATATATATATGTATAATTATTTATATATTATATGCGCGGTACTTATTAGAAAGCGCTCAATGTCTGCATACATCGATGTTTGCGTTAGTACGATGGATGACAAAACGCAGAAATTTCCCCCACCACTTCCACAATAACACCAATACACGCAATCTACATAAACCCAATTTTTTTAAAACATTAATCAGTTTGTCTGACGATCGCTAAAAGCGTGAAACCCAGGGTCACAAACTCACATATATCCAAACAAATATATATATATATATATATATATATATATATATATATATATATATATATATATATATTTTTTATATACAAATAAATAATTACGCATAGAATCAATCGGCAATATTAATGCTGTTATTGGCGATATCACATCGCTAGTAGAATATAATGTATGCATCAAATTTTGAAAAACATAGCGTTGCGTCTTTGCACGTTCCGATATTGTACACAAACGTCAATAATAGCACATGCTCATAAAAACATGTTTCGGTCTACAAACAATTATTTCGTCTCCAAGTTTTAACTTTAAAAGGGAAAAAAATATGTCTGAGGATGAATAAAGGATTATTCGAAAGTACTTGCATTTAAAAAAAATATAAACTGGAAACAACAGACAACAGTTTTATAAATGAGGATCACATCATTCTATGGATTAACAGTATTTTAATCCATACCTTATATTCTACTAGTGATGGATATCGCCAATAATATCATTAATATTGCTGATTGATTCTATGCGTGATTATTTCTTTGTATATAAATTATATGCTGCCTAATGTTTTATGTTTATATATATATATATATATATATATATATATATATATATATATATATATATATATATATGTGTGTGTGTGTGTGTGTGTGTGTGTGTGTGTGTGTGTGTGTGTGTATGTAAATATTCCCAGATGGAATGTATCTGGAGAAGAGACGAATTGAATAAAAAGAGACAAGAGGAATAACTATACTTTTGTAGCTTTTTTTCCTCTTGTCTTTTTATTTTATATATATATATATATATATATATATATATATATATATATATATATATATATATCCGATTCTTGTATAAATCCTGAAATAGCAGTTAAGCAGTCTCCACGGATAGGTATCATGTAATTTGAAGAGCCAACCACAAAAAAAAGCTCACTTAATGGGCGAACTTAACTAGCCGAATAAGCAAGCATTTTATGTATCTTTTCCGCTGCTGATAGCGGTAAGTCACACCCATTCACAAACACGGTTAATTATCAACAATTGCATTGCAGATGACTTTTTTGATCCCTCGCACTTGAATATCAGAGATTGTAAGCCGATGGTAGATGACAATTACGAAGGTACTTTTCGCGCCCTCTTGGGCGTACGATGCGCTCGAATTGATGTATTGTATTTCAGGGATTCTCGTTTAGCAAAAACAATACCATTATCTTTGATTTTTCTGAAGGATTTGGTGACATTGGCAAATCTCATGGAAAGCCGTTGTTAGCCGCTTTTACGCGAATCGTTTGAAATTCCAAGTTCTCGCGTTATTCACGAATAAAAAAAAAAAGAATTTCGTTTTTACTATCCGGGAAAATAACGCAGCGGGGGATTGCAATGTCGAAGTTTTCATTCTAATATTGTAATGGAATGTGCAGAGTGTCAAGTTCTCTGACAAGGAGTTTATTTAAAAGCAAACTAGAAGAAAGAAAGCAAGCAAGCAATTAAGAAAGAAAGAAAGAAAGAAAGAAAGAAAGAATCAATAAATAAGAGAAAAAACAATGTAAACTTAAAAACTAATAGATTGCAAAGAAAGAAATAAGCAATCCCCCAAACAAAGAAATATGGACAACTGAACAAGAAAAAAGAATGCAGAGGAAATAATATATTAGATAGATAGATAGATAGATAGATAGATAGATAGGATCAGAGAGAGATATACTAATATAAACACAGATAGATAGATAGATAGATAGATAGATAGATAGATAGATAGATAGATAGATAGAAGAAGAAATGGCTGGGATGGAAAGAAAGAAACCGAATGAAATAGATAGATAGATAGATAGATAGATAGATAGATAGATAGATAGATAAAGAAACGGCTGAGATGGAAAGAAATTGAAATAGATAGATAGATAGATAGATAGATAGATAGATAGATAGATAGAAGTATTGATTAGATCTGAAATGGAAATACACTGGATAAATAGATTGGAAAGAAAGAAAGAAAGAAAGAAAGAAAGAAAGAAAGAAAGAAAGAAAGAAAGAAAGAAAACATAAATTTGAAAAATATATCAGAATTGAAATGGAAATACACTGGAAAGAACAGATTGAAAAGAAAGAAAGAACGAACGAACGAAAGAAAAAGAAAGAAAGAAAGAAAGAAAAGAAAGAAAGAAAGAAAACATAAATTTGAAAAAATATATCAGAGTTGAAATGAAAATACACTGGAAAGAACAGATTGAAAAGAAAGAAAGAAAGAAAGACAGAAAGAAAAAGAAAAAAAGAGGAGATTATACAGAATAGCTATGAGAGAATACATAAACGAACAAAAGTACAAGAATCAATTAAAAAGAATGAAAGAAATTATAGACTTAAAATATTGATCAGAATTAAAATCTTAACTAAAAAAATGCAAATATCGAATAGAAATAAAAAAAATAAACAAGCAAAAAAACAATACATTCGAAAGAATTGATTGCAAGAAAGAAAGAAAGAAAGAAAGAAAGGAAAGAGAGAAAGAAAGAAAGGAAAGAGAGAAAGAAAGAAAGGAAAGAGAGAAAGAAGAAAAGATGAAATTTTACAGAATGGATTTGAAATAATAGAAAAAAGATTAAAAAAAATGCAACAGTACATTACAAAGAAAAAAATAAAGTAACAAAGAAAAACAAACAAATAAATGCTAATGGTAATAAAAACCATTTCCTCATAAAGAAACGTTCTCTATTAATTGACTCAGCAGTCAAAAGCTGCTAGTCTCAGTTGAATTAAATATATATATATATATATATATATATATATATATATATATATATATATATATATATTTCTCTTAATACAATTTTCCAAGAAAATAGTTTTCTCGTGTCCTGTAGCAGTTATAGCTCTTTCCGCGACGGATGGGAGATTTCTTGAATTTGCTTTAGGTAATGTGAAACGTCAATATGATAATTCTATCAGGATTCTTTTTCAAGTTAAACGCGGTATTCAAAAATGCGTTCCACATCAATTGATGTTTGGTATGGCTAATTCCAAGGAAGATAGAAATCCAAAGAGAGACCAATAGAAGAACAGAGCAATATAATAATTAATACAGAAGCATTAAAAATCGATCAGATCAGCTTATAATTTATTTCATGGACTCTTAATAAATTTATAACCTGACCTGATGGAATTTTAAGGATTCTGTATTCATCATATATATATATATATATATATATATATATATATATATATATATATATATATAATTATATAAAATATGATTCCAACTCGCGACATAAAATCTCATGTTTCAAAACAAGAGCCGAAAAAAAAGTCAATAAATTATTTAGAATTAAATTGAGTTAAGTAAATTCCATCATCAAAAAAATTTCCTTGAACTTTCGTTACTTTAACTCAATTTAATTCAAATAATTATATTGGATTTTCGGCTCTTGTTTTGAAACATGAGACCTCTTATGTCGCGAGTTGAATCATATTTTTAAATAAATAATTATATTTGTGCTCTACTTTTGTATCGAGCACTATTTTTTAAATAATAACTAAAATACTAAGGAACTTTGGATTATTTACCTAACCAGTTCCTTCCTATTTTCTATATATTTTCACACACACACACACACACATATATATATATATATATATATATATATATATATATACACATTTCATTAAAAATGACTGACAAGGTACTTTTATATAATTTCTAAAAAAAATAAATTAAAGCACCATGTCAATCATTTTTGTTGAAATGTGCTTGAAAAAAATGGCTGCTTAAATACAGTCATTAAAAATGACTAACAAGGTACTTTTATATAATTTCTAAAAAAAATAAATTAAAGCACCATGTCAATCATTTTTGTTGAAATGTGCTTGAAAAAAATGGCTGCTTAAATACACAAATATATATATGTGTGTGTGTGTGTGTGTGTGTGTGTGTGTGTGTGTGTGTGTGTGTGTGTGTGTGTGTCAAGAAAGACTTACTAGCACACAATAAAGTGAATATTTAACATTGAAAAAATAAGAAACATTAATTCATTTTAATAATATATGGAAATATCCACACTTTGCCTGAAGAAAGTCTTGAGACCCGAAACGTGTGTTGCAAAATTATGGAAAATAAAGCATATATATTTCATATATATTTTTTTTTAAAAATCCACATTACAAGCAAACACGTTTGCGGTGTCTCTCTCATCTTTTTAAAATATACACTTTTCTCTCGTTGGAACAACTTTAACATCTTCCCTATATATCAGGTCATCCTATAAGTTCTGTACGAATTTTGAATAAAGAAAAAAAAGTGAACAAATGTTACATTTAATTACAGATTCAATCAACAATGTATTTTCCCTGATTATCGATGACTTCTTTCCATCTATTAAAAAGCTTACTAATTCCATTACTGTAATATTCTTTTGGTTCTGATTCGAAGAACTCACAAATGTCAGTTTTAACCTCTTCCTGAATTACAAAAGCTGTTTCTTCCAAATAATTCTGTAAGCTACGAAATAAATGGTAGTCTGAAGGTGCAAGATCGGGAGAATAAGGTGGATGAGGAATTTTCTCCCAACAAAGTTCTTCGATCTTTTGTGACGTGATTCTTGCTGTGTGGGGTCGCGCATTGTTCTGATGAAACATCACCTCTTTTCGATTTACTAGAGCAGGTATTTTTCCTCAAAACTTGGTTCAAACGCTCTAATTGCTGACAGCATATTTGAGCATTAATTGCTGCATTAGGTGGTAAGAATTCAAAGTGGATTATTCCTTGGCGATTCCACCATATTGAAAGAAGAAACTTTTGCCCATGAAGTTCGCTTCTTGGCTGTGGCTGGGGTCCTTCCCCTTTACCAAGCCACTGTCTATGACGCTTAACATTTCGACAAAAGATCCATTTTTCGTCGCCAGTCACAAGTCTATCCAAAAAAGGTGAAACAATTTGGCGAGAATGGCGAGAAGAACAGATGTCAACTCGGGATTTCAGGTTGTTTTCAGACAATTCATGAGGCACCCATTTTCCAAGTTTAAGAACTTTTCCAAGTTGTTGAAGATGACGATGAACAGTTGTATGGTTTGAACTGAAAACCACTGCAAATTCCTCAACTGATAAAGCAGGATTTTCTTCAAGGGTTGCTTGAAGAAGTTTTTCATCAAACTCAACAGGACGTCCGGTTCGATCTTCATCTTCAAGGGTGAAATCTCCACTGAATTTAGCAAACCATCTTCTGCAAGTTCTTTCATTCACACATTCCTCTCCATAAACTGAGTGAATGTTTCTAGCCGCTTCGGCTGCTGAGTTTCCTTTCTTGAACTCATAAAGCATTATGTGCCTCAAATGATTCTTGGGTATTTCCATGTTAGCAGGGTTTTAATCAAACAAAATTTAATTTTATTGTTCTCGGAAATAAATTTTGATCAGATTAAATGCATCTAAATATAAAAATAATGTTCAGCTCCATTAGACATAAAATACTCTTTAAATTTCGTTCATTTTAACAAAAAGTTAAAATTCGGACAGAACTTATGGGATGACCTGATATATATATATATATATATATATATATATATATATATATATATAAAAAAAAGAAAAAGTCGTGAACGTTTTTTGATCATAATGTAGATTTTTTATATACTTTATTCTACATATTTTTTGCACGTATTTCTGGTGCTTGAGTGATATCTATATAAGATTTGTGACAAATCCTATATAGGTACCAATTAAGCACTAAACAGCACAGTCCACCTACACAAAAGCAACATTAAATTATCAGAAAACAGAAAACGTCACAACACATCCACAAATGCAAAAAGGTTAACTTTAAAATTATATACTTATATCAAACAATTACTTTTACCTACAAGTCCAAGAAAAAACCTTCAGCGACAATATTAAAACAGCAATAAACGAATCATAACTCCACACACATAAACGCACACTATATATACATAGGGGCAAAACACACATACACGCACGCACGCGCACACACAGACGCACACAAAACAAACGCATTAGACGAACCACACACGCACATACAAACACGCCATACAAAATGCATGTATTTACAATATACGTTTCTCTATAATAGTATAATATATATGTATGGAGAACGAATATGTACACACACTTACTGGCAAAAACAAACGCATTAGACGGTCTACACACGCACACAAAAAACACATACACACGAACCCTGCACACCATACAAAGTGTATATATATATATATATATATATATATATATATATATATATATATATATATATATATATATATAAATGCGTTTGTTTTTTCCCAGTATGTATATGTTTCCATGTAATGATGCAATATGTATGTATGGAGAAAGAATAAGTAACACTGATACTGTCAAAAACGGACCCATACATTACACAAGAATAGAATATGAAACACACCACAAAAAGATACAGGGACACTTGAAAGGATAAGAAGCACATCCTTCATTTTGCCCTTTCCCTAACCAAATTTAATCGTTTTCTTACCCCTCAAGCAAAGGAACATTTTTCGGCCAGTCCAAGATGGATTCATATGTGTACTACTACACACAAAAGACAATGGTTAAAAGATTTAACATAGGAAGAAAAATTCCTTCCTTTAAATAATATATGAAAATAACCAATCATCGCATGATGAAGGTAAACACGTGTAGCAAAATCTATAGAATGAAGTATATATATTATACCCATTATAACAAATATAAAATATACACTTTTCTCTCGTTGGAACAGCAATAATCTCTCCCTTATATATATATATATATATATATTGTGTGTATTTAGGCAGCATATTTTCATTTATACACGTTTCATTAAATAATATAGACAAGTGTTGTCTATTTATTTTATGTAAAATTTTTTCGTATCTTCTGATAAGTTTGGTAACATTATCATTAACCGAAAAAAGAAATTCACAATATTTATCCATTATTTTTTAATAAAATCTAAGCTTTCGTGTCCGTATATTGTTTGATATGTTTGTAATTGCATCTTTGATAATGGCTTGAGTAAGCCGAAAGCTTAGATTTAATTCCACAACAGATAGATAGATAGATAGATAGATAGATAGATAGAAAATGAATAGACATAGATAGATAGGTAATGCATATAGAGTGATATGAACAGTCTATTACGTCTAGTTTGAAATTAGTCACAACACAATACATTGAATCTAGATATATGGTTCTGTTGTTAATAATCGGTCTCTGAGGTGGCATGACGTCATAGAACCGCATTTGGAACTTTTGATCTTCGTCTGCTATTCCGCGACCATTATCGTCATATAGAAATCTTCTATGTCAACAGAATGTCATCTTTGATGGTGAATATCTTTGTTTAACTGTCCGTAGGACCCCTTTAAAGATGGCTCATTTGAGCCGAAAAAATAAATCAAGGACCAGCTTAATATAAATAATATCCAAACGTTGGACAAGTTTTGTTTTTAATTTCACCCGAAACTAAAGGAAACATACGAACATTAGAACGGCTCCTGATCAGTCATAATAGACATTCGCTGTCAGGTATATTTAACAATATATGTTTGATTAATGATCTATTGTCTCAATACACTATCTATCTATCTATCTATCTATCTATCCATATATATATATATATATATAT